ATATCTCCCGCAGGCCGCATCCCCGGGTCGCATGGAAGCAGTTCCCATCGGCACCATCGAAGGACACCCTCACGCAAGGGCATCGGCTAAACATAATCACCTGGTCTATCCAAACAGCCCCAAGCAGGGGAACGGGCTGTTACTGGACTCTCTGTCCAAGGCCACCTATACCCCACCAATGCAATGCCTAATATTCATGCATACTATGAGCCATAAAGCTATACCCAACCTGTGATATCTAAAATCAGACCTGTCGGTAGTATTTAAAATGCATATTTCTCACCTATGCCCACTTAAGCCTAACACTGCTGTTTAGTTGGGTTAGCATGGGTTACCATGTATAAGATCTCTCATCTTAACGACCTACAGCGACATCACCATATATTGACATAAAAGCTTATAATGAACCATACATGTGACTAAGCTTTAATTAACAGAATCTTCACTATCTGAGATCTTTTGTTTAGTACTGCGTCTCTTACCCAGACATAAACTGTCAATGTTCAGCCTGACAATATAATATAAAATTGTGCCGTTTCCTCACATGCCTTGTCAACCTACTGTTCAGAACAAACTTATGGATGCTGTTGAGGCACTGTAAGATGAAATGTTATCTGTTTTTCACAAGAAAAAATAAAGAATTAAAATAAAAAAATAAAAAGTCATGATGCTGTGAATGCTCTGTGGTATAATGTTGCCCAGTTGTATAATTAAGTTGTTTGTTTTATGATTCTCCTTTGGGCTTCTCATGATATTGAGGAGGAGCCAACAGAGGGTTTTGGCAGAATGTCAAATAGTTTGGGGCTGCACTTAACCCCGTATGTAAGTTTAGTTGTAAAATAGTAATTTTTATTCTCTCCATGTATAGGTGCCACAAAGATGAAACAAGGGGGATGGGACAGTGCTATCAAACTAACCAAATAGAAATATCTCTCTAACCTTTAGTTAACTGAGAAAAAAAGAACAAAAGATACAGGTTGCGCCAAAGTTAAGATATCAGGCATAACATGCTAGTGATTCCTCCAGAAGAAAAATGTAAAAAGCGATTGTAAAAAAGGTAAAATAAAAGAAACAAAACACAAGGCAATCTTATGGTTTTATTGTTATTATTTACTGTTTAAAGAAACACTACCGCGTTAGGAATACAAATATGTTCACCGTTTAGGTGACTAGGGCCTGTTCCGTGGCGAATAAATGGTTAAGTAACCATTTATTTGCTTACCTTAATCCAGAGCTGGTCTTCCTCAGTACTGACCACTCCTCCTCCATTGACATCAGCTTCCGAGTGGAGCTGAATGCGGAAGCACAACTAGAGGCGCACACGCATTCAAACCCGCCCATTGGTAAGCGTCAAATATGTGCGATTTACTAGACATGTGCAATTAATTTCGTTCTAAATGTAAATTCAAACGAATTTGGGCAATTCAGACATTCGGATGCTCTCAAATTGTCTAATTGCCTAATTTCCGAATTGCTGAAGTGCCGGATTTTGGGAGTGCCGAACTGAATTGCCAAAGTGCCGAATTTCGGAAGTGCCGAAGTGCTTTGGATTTCTGAAAAATGGCAAAACAGGAGAGGGAGGAAAAATTAAGGGAATGATGAAAGGAATCTAACCCTAACCCTACCCCTAACCCCCAAATCCCTACCCCTAACCCTACACCTAGTTAGGGGTAGGGTTAGGGTTAAGGGTAGGGTTAAGATTAGGAGTAGGATTAGGGGAAGAGTAGGGTTAGGGTAGACTAATCTAAGCTAATTAAGGTTAGGGTTGGGGTTTGTGGTAGGGTTAGGGGTAGGGTTAAGGGTAAGGTTAGGGGTAGGGTTAGGGGTAGGGGTAGAGTTAGGGGAAGGGTAGGTTTAGGGTTAGGGTTAGACTAATCTAAACTAATTAAGGTTAGGGTTGGGGTTTGTGGTAGGGTTAGGGGTAGGGGTAGGGTTAAGGGTAAGGTTAGAGGGTAGGGGTAGGGGTAGGGGTAGAGCTTTACAATATTATAAGAGGGGGGATTTAGCTATAAATAAGACAATTGCAAGAAAACTTACAGGAACAATACGTTGAAGAGGAACCTGCTCAAACGAGCTTACAGTCTATAGGAGGTGGGGTGTAAAACACAATAGGACAGGGAATAGCAATCAAAATAGGTGGGAGTGAAGCAGAGCTGGAGGAGAGAGTAGAGTGCTGCTCTTCAGGACAGAGCAAGTGACAGGTATGTGAGTTAGAGGTTATTCTGGAAGGCCATAAGCTTTCCTAAAAAGATGGTTTAAAGGTACTTCTTAAACGATTGAAGACTAGGAGAGAGTCTGATGGCGGTAGGCAGGCTGTCCCATAGGAAGGAAGCCACCAGCGGGAAGTCCTGCAAGCGCGAGTTAGCTGTACAGGTGCGAGTAGGGTACAGGAGAAGGTCACAGGCAGAGCGGAGAGAACGAGAAGGGGCATACCTATGGATCTGTGAAGAGATATAAGAGGGGCTAGAATTGATGAATTTTGAATTGACTCCTATAGGATACAGCATGGACAAGCTCTTTGGTACCATCTTGGCATAAGAAATGTTTTTAAGATGGAATCTCCAGGATTTGGTAACATGCTGGATGTATGGCTCAAAGGTGAGGCTAGAATCAAATATGACACCAAGACAATGCGCTTTCAAGGATGGACTGATGTGGATACCACTGATTGGAAGGGAGAGCGAAAGAAGAGGATCAGTATTAGAAGGAGGAAAGACAATGAGTTCAGTTTTAGAGAGATTTAGTTTTAGAAAACGGGAGAGCATCCAGTCAGAGATGGAGGAAAGGCAAGCAGTGACACATTGCAGGAAAGGTCTGGGGAGGAGAGATGTAGCTGGGTGTCATCAGTGTACAGGTGGTAGTGGAATCCAAATGAGGCAATAAGTTTGCCAAGAGAGGCATTATAAAGAGAAAATAGAAGGGGACAGAGTCTTTGGAGACTCCAACAGAGACAGGATGAATTGAGGAGGCATCATTAGAAAAGGAGACACTGAATGAGCATTGGGAGAGAAACCAAGGAGGGAAACCAAGAGAGGACAGAGAGACAGAATGATTGAAGAGTTTGAAGAAGGAGAGCATGACCAATAGTGTCAAAGGCAGCAGAGAGGTCAAGAAGTATTAGTATGGAGTAGTGGGCTTTGGATTTAGCTGCGATTAGGTCATTAGTAACTTTGATAAGAGCAGTCTGTCAGGGTCCCTTCTGTGGTGACCAGAGTTGTCCCTCATGGTACTCACCTTTTACATGATGTTTCAGGTCCTCTTCAGATCTCTTCTTCCTTCTCCAGCCCTTTTCATGCCGGCTGTGATAGCCCCACCCCTTTTTACTATGCGAAAAGGGGGCGTCAACATCATGACGCTAATAAAGTCACGTGCCGACGAACCGTTCGGATTATGACGTTTTGGGGGCGTGGCTACCATCCTAACAAGCCACTGTATAAAAAGGATTCAAAGGGCTAGGTTCTTTGCCCTGTTGTGGTTCATTTTTGATCCCAATAGTGCTAGTTTAGTATTCTGTTTTTCAGCTTTTGATCTTGGCTTCATTTGTGACTATTCTTCTTTCTATACTCCTTGACCCAGCTTTGGCTTCTCACTTATCCTGATTTCTGTACTCCTTGACCTCGCCTTGAATTTGACTACCCCTTGTTCTTATACGTTAGTCTGGCCATTCTTAGGTCTGGTATACATTACCCTATATCTACATTCTGCATGTTGGATCCCAGTTAATTCCTGACACAGTCACAGTAGAGTGGAGGGGGCGGAAGCCAGTTTGAAGAGGGTCAATGGAGAGGGTTGGAATTGAGGAAGTGAGACATACGGGTAAAGACAAGCTTGTCAGAAGCTTTGAGGAAAAAGGGAGCAGGGATATGGGACGATAGTTAGAGGGGGAGGACGGGTTGAGGGATGTTTTTTTCAGGATAGGTACTACAGTAGCATGTTTAAGGTTAGCAGGGACAATGCCAGAAGAGAGAGAGCAGTTGAAGATGTATGTTAAGGAAGGCACAAGACAAGGGGAGAAAGAGATCTGTTAAGGTGAGATGGGATAGGATCAAGTGGGCAAGTGGTGTGGCGAAAGGAAAAGAGGAGAGCAGCAACCTCTTTTTTTGTTGCCTTGGGAGAAAGTCTGAAAAGGAAAGGCATGATCTACGTGTGTTTGAGAAAGAGAAAGGCAGGGTGGGGATAATTCTTTCCTTAGATTTTCAATCTTGTCGGTAAAGTAGCATGCAAAGCTCTTGGCTGTAAGGTTAGTTTGTGGGGTGGCAACAGCAAGACGAAGAAGAGAGTTAAAGGTGTCAAATAGATGCCTGGGATTGCGGGAGCATGAACTCATGAGAGAGGAAAAGTATGACTGGTGAGGGCAAGGGCTGCGCTATATGAACACAATATGAATCTATAATGGAGAAAGTCTGACAGGGTGCGAGACTTCCTATAGGAGCATTCAGGACAACGGGAGCATCTTTGCAAGTAGCGTGGTGATTTAGTATACCATGGTTGGGGGCGTGTCCTCCTCGAGGTGCTTGTTTGGAGCAGGGCTGCAGCGTTCAAGGCAGAAGTGAGGGTAGAGTAATATGTGGAGATTGCCAGCAAGGGACAGGAGAAAGAAGGGATGGATAGGAGTTGCAAATAAATATCAGCTGACAGCTATTGGAGGTCAATAGAATTAAGGTTCCTCCTGAATTGAGGGGGGCAGGCTTAGGTTTTTGTGTGAGGGGGTACTCGAGAGCAAATGGTAGTTGGTGGTCAGAGAGAGGAAATGGAGTTTTGGAGATATTAGATACTACATATGCATAAGAGAAAATAGGGATGTACATGGGAAAAATATTAGGTTTGGTTCGGCATTCCGAAATTCGGGACTTCAGCACTTTGGAATTTCGGCACTTCTGGACTTCGGCACTTCGGTTCGATTCGGCACTTCGACACTTCGGAACTTCTGCACTTCGGCACTTTGGAACTTCAGGACTTCGGAACTTTGGAACTTCAGGACTTCGGGTAAGTGTAGTGTTAGGGGTATGGTTAGGTTAGGTGTAGGGTTAGGTTAGGGTTAGGGTTGGTTTAGGAGTAGAGTTAGGGGTAGGTTTATGGTTGGGTTAGGGTAGGGTTAGGGTTAGGGGTATGGTTAGGTTAGGAATAGGCTTAGGGTTACACTACCCCTACCCTACCCCTAACGCTACCCCTAACCCTACTCCAACCACTAACCCTAAACCTACCCCAACCCCTAACCCTACCCCAACCACTAACCCTACCCCAACCACTAACCCTACCCCTAACCCTACCTCTACCCTAACCACTAACCCTTCCCCAACCCCTAACCCTTCCCCTAATACCAACCTCTCCTGTTTTGCCACTTTTCAGCAATCTGAAGCACTTCGGCACTTCCGAAATTAGGCACTTTGGCAATTCGGCTTGGTTCAGCATTCCGAAATTAGAAAATTCGGCAATCCGGCGCTTCGGCACTTCAGACATTCGAAAGCATCCGAATGCCCGAATTTCCAAAACGTAATGAATTGCACATGTCTAAGAGAAAATGAGGGTATTGCCATCTATATGGGTTGGGGAATTAGCCCACTGTGATAGCCAAAGGGAGGAAGTAATTGAAAGTAGTTTGGAGGTTGTTGAGTTCATTAGTAGATTAATGGCAATATTGAAGTCCCTGAGAATTAGGGATGGTATGTTAGAGGAGAGGAAGTAGGGTAGCCAAGGCAGCAAAGTGGTCAAGGAAGAGGAGAGGGGAACCCGATAAATAACAGAAATGTTAGCAGAGAAGGGTTTGAATAAGCGAATTGAGTGAATTTCGAAGGAGAAGTGAGAGAGAGAGAGAAGGGGGTGGGTAGAGTTCTGAAGGAGCAGTGAGGTGAAAGGAGAAACCCTTCACCGCCACCTTTACTGTCAGACTGTCTTAGGTTGTGTGTAAACTATAGACCATAGGATAATGAGGCAGGGGCAGCTGTGTCAGAAGGAGAGAGACAAGTTTCATTTAAAGCAAGTAAGTTAAGAGAGTGTGTTAGTCTGTTTGAGAAGTGTCAAATCATTGGCATGCATCAAGCAGGTAAAACATCTAAGGAGATTGCAGAAACTACTAAAATTGGGTTAAGAACTGTCCAACGCATTAAAAAAACCTCAAGAATAGTGGGGAACCACCAGTGATGGGCACATAAGGGTAAGAAGAGAGGCAAATGAAGTGATGCACCCATCATGCCTAGTGCCTTCTGTACAAGCCTGTGTGGGCAATGCTATGATCTGGGATTGGCTCAGGTCTAGGTTCAGGAACATAATGTGCCCAAAGAATAAGGTCAGCTGACTACCTGAATATACAGAATAATCAGGTTATTCCATCAATTGATTTTATCTTCCCTGATGGCATGGGCATATGCCAAGATAAAAATGCCAGGATTCATAATGCTCAAATTGTGAAAGAGTGGTTTAGGGAGCATGGGACATAATTTTTACACATGGATTAGCCACCATAGAGTCCAGACCTTAACTCTATTGATAATCTTTGGGATGTACTAGAGAAGTCTTTGTGCAGTGGTCCGACTGTATCATCAATACAAGATCTTGGTGAAAAATGAATGCAACACTGGACGGAAATAATTCTTGTGACATTGCAAAAGCTTATTGAAACAATTCCTCAGCGAATGCATGCCATAATCAAAGCTAAAGGCGGTCCAACAAAATATTAGAGAGTGAGGCCTTTTTTTTGTTGGCAACTTTTTTTTTTTGGCCAGGCAGTGTCTTTTTAAATTTTGTTATTGCTTTTCAGTTTTGGGTGAAACCCATTGGTTGAAACCCTTAAACATGAATTTGGGTCCCCTCCTAGTGGTGCCTAGTTGTATATCATCTTGTGGAGTCCATGCCTTGACGCATCAGAGCTATTTTGGCAGCTATATAATAATGGGCAGATGGTTTTAATGTTTAGTTTTTTCAGCATTAGAGTGGCATGCAGTCTTGATTGTTTCTCGACTACCCAAATTGTTGAGACAATTTAATTTTACTTTGATAAGTTTGTTTTGCACTTGAAGATTTGTGTTAAGCAATGCAGAATGTTTCAGTAGTAATAGTATATTCATATCTAATATTGCTCTTGACATCTTCTAAAAGGTGCCTCTTCCGGAAGTTTCATTCCTGTCTACTTCTGTTTGTACTCTGTTAAATATTGAAATCATTTTGCTAAAGCCATAAAAGAAGAGATTGGTAGGGCTGATATGTGATACAGCTTAACCATGTTCCATTTATAAGATAAATTTTAAAAGAAACTTAGCACATTACATTCCAATAGAATTCCTATCTTATCTATCCTGATTTTTTGTCCTTTTTATTGGTGCATACAAGCACACACACATATAGACTTTAAACATATAGATGCAGAGGCAGGACTTTTATGATGAAAATGTTTCTTTCAATGTGGTAATAAAGTTACAGAATAATTATCCTTTGATGTTTCAACTCATACCGGGTCTTTTTTAAGATCACTATACCTTAGTGAAATGAACCTTAAAATTATAAAATATATAAGTAAATAAAAAATAGACTCACCAATCATGTAGATGCCACTGGCTTACATTGGGCAACCCCAGAAGAGTGGATCCTATGTGCCGCTGTGATGAAGGAGAGGTTGGTAGGAAATATATAGGTAGTGTTTATGAATCAAGAGTTGGCTGCAGTGTAATCATATAGGACTAAGATTTACCATGAGACATAGCAGTTCTGATCAAGCCCAGAATAAAATTGAGAAAATAATGTGATAAATATGTATGTTTGAGTTGCGGTTTTGACAGTGACAGAAATGTGAGAGCAAAGTGGAGACAGATAGACTGAGTGTTACCTGGTGAAGGTCATGCGTGAAAGATCACCAATATTCAAGTTCTAAGTACTGCTAGTCACATTTAGGTAAATACTACCCAGTGCTACAACATTAAAAAGTTGCATTTGCAATGCAATAAAGAACGGTTCACTCTGTGAAAGTAAATAAACACTATATACATCCATGCATTAGTACAGCATACTTTGAAAAACAATTTCAAGCATGCATAAATCTAATAATTTAATATATTACAATGGAACAATTATATTGTATCCTAACACCATGTGGACGGAATAAACCAGGTTCACAATTCCTAAATATGTACATTTAAAGAAAAAAAGCTGAAAGAATGAAAACACAAAAAAATGTTGGTTTTGTTAAAGAAATATAGTATTACTGATTTGTTCATTTAAACGTTTTGGAGACACTGTGTGAGACTATACCCAAATTATTTTCGTCTGGAGTAATATCCTGGGTCGGTTCCCTCTTATGGGCAGTGGAGGGACAGGAGTAATTGCAACACATCTTAACTTTTTTTTTTAGAAGAGTCCACCTTATGACTGAAACGTTGATCTGTGTATGTGTTCTTTGAAATAATAAATAATTATTTGTGCATTTAATAGTTTCAAATCTTAGAGATTGTAATAATTTTATTTAAAAACACCTCACCTAGGCAAAAAATAATGGGGGTTTAGTTGCATTATATGATCATATATTGCATAAGCCTGCCACAAGGTCAATGTACCCCATGCTTGGCAGGTCCTACTCTAGCAGCCTAATGCTTGCTCTTATGAGATTAATCCACTTACTTCGGAAATACTTCCTTACCAGGACTCTAATACATAAAAACCCATATCTATTACATAACTAGATTTGAATGCAAGTGGACACAAAGTGGAATTTGGCCTAGCTTCTGTGTGTTACAAAAAAAATATATACTGTACAAAAGCATAAATGTTGGTTTTGTACACAAACATGTTAAGATATATGTTTACTTGAGACATTTCATGTGACAATTTTATATAAGAAATGTACTGTCAGTTCTTCTGCCTTACATGAGGATACTGATTTTTTTAAAAAAAAATAATATTATGTTTTGTTATTATTCTGCATTTTACAAACTGTTCCAGGCATTTTGTATAGTTTAGAAACATGATTGTTCATATCCTGTATTTGTAATATTGCAAGTCAGCATCTCTAGAGATCACGATGCTGAAATTCCTTGACTAAAAATATTTTTAGGCTTTGCTGCTTTTAATTTTCAAAAATGTAATGGAGAAATGTGTGTACACCTTTCTGTTGCTAAATATTAATTTCACTGTTTAAACATTAATTAAATATGGCCGCCAGCTATCCAGATTTCTGCAGTTTCTACTTTGTAGATTTCAAATATAACTTTAAACTGTATGTATTACTCATAAAATGTTCAAAGAAACAACTCATGTATAAATCCTCTAATAACCACAGGATTGTTCCTTAAGTGTTTCAGAATTCCTTCTTGTAAAAACAATATTTTATATTCAAACTGAACAGCAACCTCTACTGGAAAGATACACTGAACTGCAGTCATACATAAAGACAAACAGTACAAAGTCTCTTAATATAATTTTTTCCTTTTGCAATCACATTTTTTTATTAAGAAAAAAAATGTTCTTATATTCCAGAATACATAAAAAGAAGAAAAGGGGATAAAAGAAAAGTCTAAAAACCATACATTTGAACTATTCATCAACCAGAGGGCATAGATTCCTTCTTGAATGTCAATTTGTATCTAAGGAAGGAGAATAAAAGATTAGGCTAGAATCAGGCGACTTACTGTGATTTTATAATTATGATATTGTATGTTGTTAAAAGAGTGTTCTCAAAATTGTGTTGCATGCATTTGAAATATTCTCAATATGCATGCATATTATTTTGCCATAATCATAAGGAAAAAAATACTTGTAAGTTAAGCAGTGAGAAAAAAAAATATACAGAACTGCTTCAAACATTCAGTATTTTATCAAAATGTATTCAATAACAATAAAAATGCAGCTGTTATGACAAATGTAATTTAGTAGGTTATATAATTTTTATCTTTTAACTGTGCTAAATTTCATCAATTATAATAAGTGTTGAAAAGTTTTTTTTTGTTTTTTTTTTAACATATTAAAGTTTAGTCCCCTTTTAGATCACTTGTAAGGGGCAGACAAACCCCTACTAGGACAAGCATGTTCCTGGAATGTTCATTTCCTGACCTTTGTTAAATGCATTTTATGAGGGTTTTGTACGGTCCACGTGCACTCTTTGCTCTAAAGTATCTCCAATTTAGGATTTTGTCCTGCCATTCTGGGTTTGTCCTTATCTGGGGAGAAATGTCTCCAATGAGCACCACAAGAGGGCATTGTTTTGTCTATGTGAGGGCACTTCAGCAGTGCTCTTGTATGGTCATCCCTGAATGAGGTGGTTAGCATGGCTGCCAGTCAGGCATGCATGCTATTGGTTCCTTACCAACAGCTCCTCATATACAGACACTCACTCAATTTCACACATAATGACATTCCAACTGCAATGC